GGCCTCATCGAAGATGCTCGACGTATCACCTAGATCGCAAGTATCTTCGACTCCCGTGAAGCAACCGTGGAAAAGGTCCTCCCCTTCGTGGGCCGTTCCAACATCTGGAGGCCCCATGGCCTGGGCTTCCTGAATTTTCCCCTCGGAAAATAAGGGGAGTGGTGGTGAATCGTCAACCTTTATTGCCCCAAGCAGGTTACTTGGGGCATTCTCTTCGTTTGAAGGGCCTCAGAACTGGCCCCTTCAGGTACGTCCACTGATTGCCCATCACGGCGGGAGACATCTTCGACCTCCGATGAGTCGGGGACTTTGCACGGGCCACCCTCCGAAATCCCTTCGGCCCGAAGCTGAACTTCTTCGACCATCACCGGCTCAGCGGCCTTTGCGACCTCGGCGCTCCTCTTTCGAGCCACCAGCTCGTAGTCGGCATCTTCTTTTTCCTCTTTCTCATCTCGTAGCTTCTAAACTACATCCGCAGGCAGGGCAGCGGTATCTTTCTTCGACCTGCGAGCCGTTCTCTTCTTAGGCTTTGCAGTATCAGCGGGCGAAACCCTTTTCCTCTTCTTATCCTTGGCCGGTTTCGGGGCCTCCTCCTCTTCCCTAGGCGGGGGCGGCCTCATGATAGCATTGTCTGAGACCTGTATGAAAGGAAACTCGGTAGAAATAAAAAAGAGACATTCCAGAGAAGAACGTCAAACACATAAAAAGAAACTTACCATGATTATTGGCCTCTTATCGGCCCTTTGCCAAATCACGCCATAAGCGCTCGACGTATGAAGAGGTCGATGCCTGTTTCCGAACCCAGCCCTCAAGGTTCAGAATTGCACCACGCACCCAAGAGACCGTTGCATCATAAGAAAGAATGTTGATGAGAAAAGGTAAAGGAAGAAAAACAATTAACAGAAGCTATTGGTGGGTTTGTACTTACGCTTCATGTTCCATTCTTCGGGGAATGGCATCTTCTCGGCCGAGATTATGTCAGAAGTCCTCACTCGGACAAACATGTCCATCCATCCCCGATCTTTGTCCTCGTCTATGCTCGAGAACAACACCTTTGTGGCCCGGCGCTGAAGCCTTATTAATTTGCCTCGATAGAGACGGGGGTTGTACAGTCTAATGAGATAGTCGAGGGTGAAAGACATCCCTTCGACCTTGCTCACGAAGAATCAGAGCAAAATAACGATGTGCCAAAAAGAGGGGTGGATTTGGCCTAGGGTTATGTGGCATTGGCAGCAGAAGTCGATAATAACGGGATCGACGGGACCCAGCATGAAAGGGTAAGTGTAAACACTTAAAAACCCTTTCACATAAGTGGTAATATCTTCCTCGGGGGTAGGGATCACCACCTCTTTGTTTTTCCCATAGCAATCTTTTTTCACCTGCTCAAGATTGCCCTTGGTTATCGAGCATATGTATCTCGACATTGGCTCACATTGTCCAGGGACCGACGAGGGTTTCTCAACTTTAAAATCGGAAGTAAGATCGCGCGACCCGGGAACACACTCTTCGATGCGTGGCTCCACCGGCGTTTTATCACCGGCCGGCCGCGATGAAGAGGCTTTTTCCTTTTGAGGAACAATTTTTGATGTTTTCGCCAATTTTATATGAGTTCAGAGAAAGAAGAAGACGAAAATTGTTATTTTAAGAAAAGATTGGCAAACAGGATTTGAAGAACCTGCAGAATTGATAAGCTTGAAGAGAGTAGAGGAGTTTTTGAAGATTAGGAGAAATTTTGAAAGTAAAGTTTGAGAAATTATGAAGATGATCTATTTATAATATTTGCTATGACAGTTTGAAAACACTAGTGGTCGACCATCGACTGACGATCATTAATGATTTTGGGAACAGTGCAGACGCGACGCTTCAGTCGCTTCCATCGCTTACGTCATGAGGGTGACGTCATAATTGGTCGAGGTACAAAATCAAAGGCTCAGTTCGTTTCTTCTCATTACACTCCAAGAAATGAGGGGACTATTTGTATACGGTTAAAATCAGGCTTGCTCAATTTTGCCATTAAATCGAGATCAGGGAATAACATCGAGGGTCAGCCCCGTAATGGATCAGGCCAGAGCACGAAGACAAGGTATCGAGTTCGAGAATCGAAGTGCCCGTCGAGACCGAGGTCATCGGCAATCGAGACCTAATATGATCGACTTCGAGCGAAGCGCAATAACGAAAAGGCGGAATATCCGTTACCGGTCGGGGATCACGGCCTAATCTCACAGAACCCTATGACCAACATACACTGCAACTATATATATACTCCTACAACCGAATGGCCAATATGAATAAATTAGTATTACTTCATAGTACTGAAGAGGACCATAATAGAAGTCACAATAATAGCAATGCAACAATAGATTATAGCATAATATTACATGTTTAGTCAGATGTTGAATCTTGAAACAATTAAACATGCTTTCATTTCAATCCAAAGCCAAAAAGCACCATGCTTTAAGTCTCCTATTACTGCTGCTAGCTACTCCATCTTCTACTAAGTAGGAGTATACCATTAATATAATGTACAATTCTTTGCTTGAAAGTTACCTTATAAAGAATTTTAACCCTATATAAAACCCATGATCTTCTCCTCCATTTCTCAACATCTCTATTACTAATCAATGCAAATGGCTTCATCCTCTTTTTCCAAGTTGTCATTTCTTGCCTTATTTTCCATACTTTCTCTTGTGGCATGCACCACGTTTGCTCGCGACTTTTCCATCGTGGGATATTCCCCCGATGACTTGAACAGCATCGAAAACCTCATCAATCTATTCGAATCGTGGATGGAGAAACACAGCAAGATTTATGAGAGCATCGAAGAGAAGTTGCATAGGTTTGAGATTTTCAGAGACAATTTGAAACACATTGATGAGAGGAATAAGATGGTTAGTAACTATTGGCTTGGTTTGAATGAGTTTGCTGATTTGAGCCATGATGAGTTCAAGAAGATGTATTTAGGACTCCAAGTTCAACATGAGAGATCAGAGTCCTCCCCACAAGAATTCACCTATAGAGATTTTGTGGATTTGCCTAAATCTATTGATTGGAGAAAGAAAGGTGCTGTGACTAATGTCAAGAACCAGGGCTCATGTGGTACGTACTCATTTTGTACATTTATATACTTATTTACTTAACAAAAAGGGTACAACTTTAATTTATTTCATGAAAAATGTGGAGTACTACTACAGGTAGTTGCTGGGCATTTTCAACAGTAGCGGCAGTAGAGGGAATAAACCAAATAAAGACAGGGAATTTGACATCCTTATCTGAACAAGAGCTCATCGACTGTGACACAAAATATAACAGTGGTTGCAATGGAGGCCTTATGGATTATGCTTTTCAATTTATTGTCTCTCAAGGTGGTCTTCACAAGGAGGATGACTATCCTTATCTCATGGAGGAAGGCACTTGTGATGAAAAGAGGGTAAGTCAATAATATAGTCCCACACTAAGTCATGATTTCTTCTTATCTACCACCAAAGGATGTGCAGTGGATGGGACTACTGTCTCGAGTTCGAGCCTGGGTATAGAAAAAACTTTGGTAGGGAGCGCTTCCCCGAATGCGGCCTTACGCGGCACGAATCCGGATATAGTCGGGCTCCAATGCGAGTACCGGACACCGGCTGGGAATCAAAAAAAAAAATTCTTCTTATCTGTCCAAACTTTGGTAGACAGAATTATCTGATACCCATATAATTAGTTGAGGTGTACGCAAACTGACTCGAACACTACGATTATCCCAAACAAAACCAAAAAAAAACATGTAGTCTTGGCAGGAATAATGGTACTTAAAAATTCCTAAGTGTGTTATTCATGAACAACCTATTGGGTATTCAATAAATATGAAAGAAGAACCCATGGAGACATAATATAATTAAGTAATTAAAAGTATATTATTTAAGTGAACCCGTGTAGAAGACATAATTTATTTAAATGAATGTTATATGTTGATCAGGATGAATCTGAAGTGGTGACAATTGATGGTTACCGTGATGTACCAGCCAATGACGAACAAAGTCTATTGAAAGCTCTTGCAAACCAACCTGTGAGTGTGGCCATTGAGGCTTCTGGCAGAGATTTCCAATTCTACAGTGGGGTAAAGTTTCTTCTCTTCTCCCTTTTACCCTTTCTCTTTTCCACATATGACACAAATTGTGTTACAAAAATTATTGTCAGAAAATATGTCATTTTTGGTGGTTGGTTGTCAGAAAAATGAAAAAGTTATTTCGCTCAATTGAGCAAAAATCATTTTCCTTCACAGTTATCTCAAATTCTAAATATATACCAATACTTAGACATTATAATCAATTTTTAACACTCAAGAGTTTATCGAAACAATGTCTGATTTGCTAATATTATTATCAATCTTTAATAGGAGTATAATCTTTTTTGAAAAATACTTTTTATCCTCCAACCAAACACTAGAAGACTTCTCTCATTCCCCATACACACTCTTAGTGATAAAGAGAACTCTTGATATTACTTGCAATACAGAGTGAATACTATGACAGCTTTTGATTGCTGCTTATAATACTGAGCGAATACTATTGAAATATATTGGTAGGGTGTGTTTGATGGGCATTGTGGAACTGCATTGGACCATGGAGTGGCAGCAGTTGGATATGGATCCACAAAGGGGACAGACTATATCATTGTCAAGAACTCTTGGGGTCCCAAATGGGGAGAGAAGGGTTTCATCAGGATGAAGAGAAACACCGGCAAGCCTGCAGGAATCTGTGGCATCAACAAAATGGCTTCTTTCCCTATCAAAAAGAAGTGAAAATTTGTTCTACTTTCTTGAATGTTGTTTTGTTTGTAATGTAAAGCATTTTGTTGTCTTTGATTAATAATGTATCAATACAATGTGCTCATTTGATGTGGTGTTTTTAACAAATCATTGCTTTCTTTATTTCTTTAAGATTCAACAAAGCATTTTGAGAATTGCCTGTAGCAGAAAAGGAATTGACAACCACAACATAGGACGTGATAATAGGACATCATAGAATTGCAGTAAAATTCAGACTTAGGTTGAAGATAGATAATTTTGAAAATCGTTCCTAGATTTAATTCCTAGCACTACATCCAGTGATCAATAGCAGCACATTACAAGAGCTGAAATAGAACAAGAAAATCAAACCATGTCCTACGCTTAAAACAAAACAAGAAAGCTAAATTAACAAGACAGAAAATGCAGAATACCTAGCATCAGCAAACTAGCACTTCTCACCACTACATGTTCAAAGCAAAAAGTGCCTCTGGTTCTTATTTCTGCACAACTACAATTACACCGACTAAATTACAACGAGTCCTCAGTGAATTAGTTGACAAGGAGTTCTGCCTCCACAATTGGTCAGGAAAGAGAGCAGAAAAAGTTCATTTCCAAGGCATGCTTGACATTCCTTGCAGATTATTATTGGTGCATACTGGAGCACTCTGATTAAGGGGACTGCCTGGGCCACCAGATGATTCACTATGAGTTCCACGTGATGGTGAGCTACTGCCCCCCATCATAGCACCAGGATTGGCGTTCAGGGGAGCAGGTGACGCATCAAAATGGTTTGCTGATTTCGACTCTTTTCGGCCATCTGCAATGAAGCTACCAACGATAACCTGGAACAGAAGCCATTTAATTAGTGCCGGCTTTGTAAATAAAATCTGTACCACATATCATTCTTAACACAGATGCAACCTAAATAAACAAATGGTAGTTTTAGCACAAGACCCAGACATTCGCCTCTGTGATTATTAGGTCCAAATCATACCTTTGTGTGCACTTTATTTTAAAAAATAAAAAATTATTGATATGGTAAACTTACACAACTCGGAAAGTCAATGATAACTAGTGACAAAACAACTCAAAGAGTAGGGATAATCCTTTTTTCTTAGTTCCTTAACCCCCACCCCCCACCCCCACCCCCCACCCCCCCAAAAGGCCCAAAAAAAAGGGATGATGCTTCTTGCATGCTGCACTCAATTAGAGGAATCAAGGAGGGTGAAGGTTTGGGAATTGAGGAGTTTCCATTTACAAGATATTACATATTTTAATTAATCAAAGATACTAAATGTATATAAACAGCATACTGCACGCATTCTTTTGTTTTTTCCTTCTGCTCCCAATTAACAGAGATACAGCAATAGTGCTTCATGATAAATGATTAAAAGTTAGTATGCATGCTATACAAAGTGATCTTTGACACTGATGAGAAGGCAAACCTGGACTGGTGATGCAGCGGTTAGAACACCCGCCACACAACCACCAAAAATCCGTCCATCAGATCCAGCTAATGATACACTTAATCCACCTGTTCTGCTCCGTTGACCACCAATTTCAGATAGCAGAAATGAACCAGATAGAGATAATATGTCAAACCGTCCCTACAGGAGGAAAAAGGTCAGAAAAGCACTCAATATGCTGTAATAACGCAAGGACAGAATCCAAAAAGAGCGACGCGGAAGAGAAGATTTTTAGCAGCAGATTTGTAAATTCTAGAAGAGACAATCAGCTAATTTCAGGCGCAGAATGAAGTTGAAATCAATAGAATAAGATTAAGAGAGTAAAAAGATGTTATATCCCTCCAGGAAAATGATGAAAAATTGTAACTTTTCTCTTTCATCCTCATAAAGGCAGAGTCATGGGCAATGAGACACATCTTTTATTACATTGGGCTCTACACTAAAGTGTCCCTTAGGAGAGGAGAAGCGCTCAAGATGGGCTTCAACTGCCTTCGCTTCATAGCACCTCGAGCGAGAGACACACTGGATAAAAACCATGTATGCTATGAGCTACTATATTCTTAGCAAATTTTCACATATGAAGATTCAGTTGATATACCAGAAAATTGTTTTTTTTATAAATAAAATTTGATACTTGTTTTTGCTAGAAGATCACTCCGGCGAATTATAGAAAGTACTAATTAAACAATTACAGAAATGAGTGGCATAATCCTAAAATAATTTCATAACCATTTGCAAGCAAAAGAGGAGGGAGGGAAGGGGGGGGGGTGGGGGAAGGGAAGAGAAACTTGACCTTAGC